AAGGACTCAGCTGCTCGGATTGAGTTGGGCAGGTCATTCCACCAGCAGGGAACAGTTAATGTAAAAGTCCTTGAAAGTGATTTTGTGCCTTTTTGGGATCATGGCACTATAAAGCGCCTTTCACTTGCAGAATGCAAGCTTCTGGAGGGCATATAAGTCTGAATAGTGAATTTAAGGTAAAGGGGTGCAGAGCCAGTGATTGTTTCGTATGCAAACATCAATGCCGTGAATTTTATTTCATCTAGAGACATCTGAACATCAGCAAACTCTGTCACACTTGTGCAGGTACAGCAGTGGCAGTGCTGATATTGGTGACTATTTTTTTTCCAACAATTAAAGTTCGTAGTTATTTATCATAAAGCCCCCAAATAAGTCCCTCATATTTTTGTTTTAAAAAATTAGGATACATTTTCTTACATTGACACTACCTGCACTTTTTTTAATTCCTGACCGATACTGAAGTCAACTTGTTAAAAATCACTGTTTTATCATTGCTCATTTATTTCAGAAATCCATGTCCACTGTTGTGGTTTTACTGAAGCTGTGTGTAACGGGGCTGACGAGACGTGAGGATCCATATGCAAGCTTTATTTTGGAAAAGACAGAGACGTGGTCATGAAACAGGCATGGGTCAGATAAAGGCAGACAGGTATATGGCGGGCAAAACACAAGAATAATCCTAGGGCTAGCGTGGGTCGACGATTGGCAGACAGAGTCACAGGGGCAAGGCTAAAGGGAGAAATCCAGGAAAACAGGCGAAGATCAAAACCGGAGAAAACAGACAAGGCGAGGCAAAACTAGGCTAAGGCTAAGGCTAAGGCTAAGGCTGGGAAACTAATGAGGGCTCTGTAGTGTAGCTATCTAAGGATAAGCGCTAAAAAAATACTCAGCAGAGGGAAGGGATCAGAGTGAGTGTTAAATAGTGAGGGAGTGATATGAAACAGCTCGGTGCAATCAGTGTTACCAGCTGTGTGCAATCAGTGCAATGAATGATGGGATATGTAGTCCGGGGTGATGTGCAACAGTGTGTAGTGCGAGAGTCAATGAAATCGGAAAGGGTGACCTCTGATGGCTAGCAGAAGGAAGTTCATGGACCGGATTCGTGACACTGTGATCCGATTGGTCCTCTCTGGTCTGGTGGGTGTGGCTACTGTGGCTGTTCTGGTTTATGATGTCATACACACAAGTGGTTAAAAGGAGAGAACAGATAATACAAATATTTTGTAAAAAGTTTTGATCTATGAATTAGAAAATATATATTCGAGGATTTAAATTCAAGTTATCAATAAAATCAACAAGAGGTTTAATGTGTGGGTGCAAATGTACTAAGAAAAGATAAATGCTTTTTAATAGATAAAAGTAAACCACACTGTATGAGGAAAGAAACATGGCACTCACAAGAGAATGTGGTCTAAGATATTGTTTAGTGATACAAAACCAAATATTGTGTATGTTAGGTAATTGTATGTTATGTTAGGGTGTATGTTTATCTGGTGGCCAATCCTTTACAACTTCATTTTTTTCTTACCTGCCATGAATTTATATATTTTTTCAATTACATGTTTTTAAATCATTTATGTTGCTTTGCATCATTGTCATTTTGTACAGTTTTAACCGTACGCAGCAACAATGCAAATGCGTTTGCAACATCAACAATAACGCCATTAAACACCTTAAAATTCAAACTAAAAATTAAACAGCACCTACCGAACTGATACACATGAATCATATACAGGCCTATATTTTTAATTGAAGAGGTGTCACAATATCAACTATTCTAATTAAATGATTCCACTGATTTAGTCTGTACCAGTTGGTCAATGAAGATGTTTAAAAAAATGTTTTTTTAACTCCATGAATTATAATAGTTATTAAAAGTCTTCTCTCCTAATTGTAAGGGGGCATCCTACCCCAAGGGTCTTAACCTTTCATTACGGACATACAATTGTTATTTTGTGAATTATAACACATTTATAGCATTTACCCAGTTTATTGTAAAACCACAAAGACAGAGTAAATAATGTACACCTCATAATACAGTACTAATACAAGTTTGTTATAAGACAAAAGAGTGCAAAAGTAACATAATTTTCCAGTGGCCAGTGGTACTTTTTGGAAGTATTTTCCCATTTATTTTGTCAATAGAGATTTCACAAAAATAGTTCTAAGCCATGAATCGAATCATCAACCTCCAATATGAATCACATAATTACAGACTTCAGGTTTAATCAAAGAGAGAGATATAGAGAGAGCGAGAGAGAGAGAGAGAGAGACAGAGAAGAAAGTAAAATACTGTAAACTTTATTTTTGATGGATGTGTGTGTGTGTGGGTTTTATCTTACATTGTACTTTATTTTGTTACTGATGAGTATGTGGTTGATTTGTTTTAAAGAAGTCAGAATGCCTTGATCATCACACAGCTAAAATGATCCACAGTGGCTGTTAAAATTGCAGATAATTTCAGATCTTTTTCCACCTTCAATGCAGTATTAAAAATGTATGCAACAAACAAAAATAAACTTTAAAGAAGAAAGAAGAACCTAATAAAATGACCTGGTTGCATAAGACTGCACACACTTTTATAATGGCGGATGGGTTACTGGTGAATTAATCAATTAAATTCAAATTCTTACTAAAGAATTATGCCGTTTTCAGCTCTAGTTTCGCAGTTTAGCTACCCCCTAGTGGTGACTTGTCTATATTTAAGCAGAGCATGTGCTGTTCAGCCATGATGTTATGAGGTGTTTGAGAGGGCACACAGACGATACCAATCTCCATCCACACTTCATTTATTCTTGGAAAAGGCACTGTCTTTTTACACCGCTTCCATTAAATTGCACTTGGTTTCAGTTGTTGTCTCAAGTCTTTGTTGGAGGAGTGTTAAGCTTGCTGCATAGCTATGTATGTGTACACATCCTCCAGTTATAATTGTAAGTGATGCTGATTTACCCTGAATTTTAAAAAAACAACAACAACAAACAAAAACATTTCTATATTCTTGGTTGCATCTTATTGTTGAAGCCATGGCCTGCCAAGAGCTTACAAAAGATGCATTGGGGATCTTGTTGTGAAAAGGTAGGAATCAATCAGGAAAAGGGAGCAAACATATTTGCAAAACAGGTGCCATGGAATTCATGTGAAGGTAATCAACAAGTGGAGACAATAGGGTACAACAATGACATTCAAGAACAGGAATAACAGGAAAAACTAAATGAAAATGCATCAAAAAGGTTGCCAACAGATTTATGTAACATTAAAGAAAACATTAAAAAAACATCTTTTAACTTAAGTGCCGCATTTTTAGAATGCCATGCTGTGAGCAAGATGTTGCAAAAGTGCCGCAGTTAAACCCGTCTGTCTAGAATGTGATTACATAGAAAAACAATCAGAAAGTACCGCAGTGCAATGGAAAAACACGTTCTGTGTGAAAGGCCCCTGAGACTACCTTAAACTGTGTTACTGTCTGATGAAACCAAATTACAGACCATTTGGCACAAAACCTGCAGGCCTCCATTAAAATCTGAAGATGAAGAAGATTTTAAGTCAATAAAGGAATGGCGTCAGAAGAGGAAAGGTCGAGTCTGAGGCCAGGCCTAAATCCGATCCAAAAACTTGAGCAATGTCTCGAAGAGGGCTGTAGGAGCTCTTTTGCAAGGAAGAGCGGTAAAAATAACCCAATCAAGATATGTTCAAAAAGACTGGATGCTGTATTAAATGCAAAAGGTGTATCATCCAAATATTAGTCGAGGGATGTGCATTCTTGTGCAACCAAGTTAGTTTAAAGCAGCACTATGTAACTTTTGGTGCTCCAGCGGTTAAAAAAACAGAACTGCACACATCCCGCGGAAGAACATTCCAACCGGAGCTACTTCTCTAAGTTTATGTCTCTGGCGATTCACGCAGGTATGTGTTACTCCGCAGCGGTGACGACCCGATAGCCAATAGTCCGAATATAAGCACTTATTATAAGTGCACCGTAGTGATTCGGAAGTGCGGTTTGGAAGATTAATTCATGATGTACTCGCTCATTATATACATTTTGCAATTTTTGAACACAGAAAAAGTTACATAGTGCTGCTTTAAGTCTTTTATTTTTAAATTTTTTCTTGAAAGTTTCTATTTATTTGTTTCATTAATTTTGATGGTTTTAATACTGCATTAAAGGTGGAAAAAGCTCTGATATGATTTAAGTTGGATTCATTTCTTACATCTTAAAAGCCTGAAATTGTAACAGAGCTGTGTAGACATTTTCTCACCATTAGTAACAGGCGATTTAAAATGTCCCTTAGAAGTAAAAAGGTAACGTGCTTTGTCATCATGAATTTCCTGAAGTTACAGCTACGCAGTACAGGCTGAAGTGCATTTCTGCTGATTTATGTCATGGGAATCTTCTTGTGGGACCAGAAGACGTGTCCTGAAAAAAAAAATCACAATTAAAGTTTAAAGCAGCACTATGTAACTTTTGGTGCTCCAGCGGTTAAAAAAACAGAACTGCACACATCCCGCGGAAGAACATTCCAACCGGAGCTACTTCTCTAAGTTTATGTCTCTGGCGATTCACGCAGGTATGTGTTACTCCGCAGCGGTGACGACCCGATAGCCAATAGTCCGAATATAAGCACTTATTATAAGTGCACCGTAGTGATTCGGAAGTGCGGTTTGGAAGATTAATTCATGATGTACTCGCTCATTATATACATTTTGCAATTTTTGAACACAGAAAAAGTTACATAGTGCTGCTTTAAGTCTTTTATTTTTAAATTTTTTCTTGAAAGTTTCTATTTATTTGTTTCATTAATTTTGATGGTTTTAATACTGCATTAAAGGTGGAAAAAGCTCTGATATGATTTAAGTTGGATTCATTTCTTACATCTTAAAAGCCTGAAATTGTAACAGAGCTGTGTAGACATTTTCTCACCATTAGTAACAGGCGATTTAAAATGTCCCTTAGAAGTAAAAAGGTAACGTGCTTTGTCATCATGAATTTCCTGAAGTTACAGCTACGCAGTGTCATGGGAATCTTCTTGTGGGGCCAGAAGACGTGTCCTGAAAAAAAAAAAATCACAATTAAAAACTAATTTTGCACATTAAATGATATTTTTCTCTCATTATGATATCTGTAGGTGATCGATCACACCTCCTGCGGTGATAGCAAATCACACCAACTGCTGCAGACGCCAGCAGAAGACCAACACATATTCCTGCTACAGCAGCTGGAGACGGACCTGAATCTGGAACAGATAAAGACAGACAATCATTAGTGCACAAGACTGATCTATAGCCTTGTTCAGACTGGCTTCTGTGGCAATGGCGTTGCATTGGCATGCCTACTCTAAAACAATAACAGCAACACAATCTTATGAGGCAGCAGCAGAAACACAGCTGGAATGCGCCGATCTCAAAACTCAAAGATGTGAGTAGACCAGCAGTATATTGTCATTTTGACGGAAACAACCTTGTTTCCGCAAAGACATTCAGGATGTTTCTACAAACAGCGTCTGATGTGTTTACGTGTTATGTGGCGTGAGAAAGTGACACGAGCAAAAAAAGCTATGCTAAATTCTAAATGCGATTTGAATGGGATTTTAAACCACTAAAATACCACGTCATCACATGATTTGGGTTTTTCATTACAGCAGGATCTAAAGTGACAGATTCTCCCTCCTTCACTGACTTTCTCTTCGTTTTATCTCGTTCAGCAGCAGAAACACCTGAAACACAAACCAACAGCTGCTGGAGGATCTTTTTTGGGGGGTAAAAAAACATGAAAATAACTGTGCAAATTGCATGTTCTGTACAGCAACATTTATTTGTAGGGGGCGCAAGCACCAAAGACGGCGCTTTAATAAAGTAACACACTTTTTTTGCTTGTCACTCTAGAATGGTAGGCTATAAAAAGATGCATTAAATTGCACTGGAATCCTTCAGATCCCACACATAACCAGAGAAATCACATGGTCGAGCATATCTCTATTTCAGCAAGTAGACTATTCTACCATTTTGACAAAAGAGTTACTTTTTCGAACCTGTCCCAAGCCATTTGTCCAAACTTAAATGAAATTTGGCATTATCCAGGTCCTGTCCAGGGAAAATGTTGCTCAAAGAATTTTGTTTGTTACGTTTTTGGAACTTCTGTTTTTTTTTGTGAAATCAATCTCCTAAACTAAGTAGTGCTATAATCTAAGCAAATTCAAAAAAAGTTGAATTTCAACAAAAAAGTCCACAGAGTACAGTAATTAAATGTGGCTTTTTTTTGTCCTGTTTGCGTCAAATGTGCGTGGATTGCTAATGATAGGAACCCATAGTATAAAATATCAGATGCATTTAAACAGAAGATAAGAGTAGGTGATCAGGTGTGGCATGATGATAAACGGACTTCTCCACCAGAACACAACTGGAGCTTCTTTTGCCTTTATTTATTTATAGAGTACAGTATGACAGGTGAAGTGGGAGAAAGAGGGGGACGAAATTGAAAGGACCACAGTGTAACTTCCAAACTAACTGTTAAATCTATCGACTTGCCAATGGAAAGACAATTTTGATTTAATTTATACTGTTATAATGCAGCTACAGCTAAAGAGAAAATGCAGCTCTAATTCTCACTGCTTTAAACATGTATAACCTTAACTTAAACATTTGTTAAATTACTCACCACGGACAGAAACACTGAAGGTCTTTTCACTGATGCTGCTGCTGCTGAAGATCTTCAGTTGATAAACTCCAGCGTCTGTGGTTCTAGTGTTCATGATGGTGAGAGATCCAGTCTGATGATCCAGCTTCAGTCTGTCTCTGAATCTCTCAGTACCGACATTACACTGAACATCTGTACAGGTCTTACTGGGATCTCCATTAATTTGAGCGATGCGAGTCTCATTGAAATACCATCTAATTCTGTCTTCTTGGGCTTTTTTAATTCCAGTGTGTAGAGTAATTGAATCTCCCTCCATCACAGACACCAACACTCCATTTGTCTCAACACCAGACACACCTGAAGAAAAAATCAACAAACTTTTCACTTTTGGGATGATGGGAAAAAATATACAATAGCAAAAAAGTGCTGTGGACAAGCAAAACACCCTAGCAACCATTTAACACCACCTTAGCAACCATCCAGAATACCCTAGCGACACTTTAGCACCCACCTAGCAAAACTTTATCAACCGCCTACCATTCTGACCATCAAATTTCAGACTATTTTAAATTCTAGTGCTGGGCAACGATTAATCGCGATTAATCGCATCCGAAATAAAAGTTTTTGTTTACATAATATATGTGTGTGTGCTGTGTTTATTTATTATGTATATATAAATACACACACGTGCATGTATATATTTAAGAAAAAATATATTATGTTTATATATATTACATATATTTATATATAATATAAATTATATGAATATAAATATATACATGTAAATACATGTAAATATTTTCAAAATACGTATATACTGTATGTGTGTGTATTTATATATACATAATAAATATACCCAGCACACACACATATATTATGTAAACAAAAACTTTTATTTTGGATGCGATTAATCGCGATTAATCGTTGCCCAGCACTAAAACTAAACCTTTTCACACCAATAAAGTTTGCCTTTAAAACATTTCAGTCTAGTTAATTAATATTAGATTCATGTCTATTTCCATGATGAAAGCGGAGTAGGCAGTCATGGGCTTCACAAGAATATAGTTACATTACTCGACAAAGGTCAAAATAATTAAGTAGAGAGGTTGTGGAAAATACCACCACAATCCTAGACATCTTATCTGGATGGGATTTACCCCTGTCCTCACCACCTCATACATTTATCAGATTTTTAAACAAAACAAAAACAAAAACAAAACAGTTGCTCAATCAATGTTCAATAAAACATTTTAAATAAAAATAGAAACCAAACCAACAATAACAAAACTGAAAGCAATATATAAAGAACAACAGTGGATGGGATGTTAATGCATTACGACAAACAAATTGGAAACCATTTGAAATCAAATACGGTACAGAAAAGTACAGACAAAACACTGCCCCCGTATTTGGCCCAGTCCCTTCATTAAAGATTTCCATTTCTCAGTATGACTCATTCAGAGTCTTAAATTGTGTGACATCTTTTCCATCACATAAATCTCCCTCCATGAACTTAATTATTTCTCAAGTGTCAGTAGCATTTTTAAAAACAACTAGGAGTATTCATAAAAAATACATTCTCTTCTCACCTTGTATTAAAACTGGCTTAACTCCCTAATTTTTTTTCAGCAAACATTTGTGCCCCACACATCAGAAAATGTATTTATTGCCATTTTAAACCACATTAAGAATCAAATAATATACATCAAAAATTCTGTTTTTAATATTCTCTTTTACAGTTTGAATGCCCATGTAAATAGCCTACACTCTAAAAAATGCTGGGTTAAATACAACCCAGTGCTGGGTAAAATAGGGACAAACCCAGCAATTGGGCTGTTTTGACCCAGCGGTTGGGTTACTACCCAAAATTTTGGGTTAAACATTTAACCCAACCGCTGGGTCAAAACAACCCAATTGCTGGGTTTGTCCCTATTTTACCCAGCACTGGCTAGTATTTAACCCAGCATTTTTTAGAGTGTACCATTCACACTTTTATGTATTTGGCAGACGTTATAATAGCTATATAGACCTATTATCCACATCAACAAAAATATAAATTTCTTTTTTTTTTATACCAAGTCACTTGACCTATAAGCATTTACAGGACCCCATTTTCAATAGTTTTGCCATACTAAAAATAGACCTATATTTTGCCATTCACGATCTGAAATCGCTCTTGTTGTCCCGCACCCACAGAAACGTGTGGAAAACTATTCGTGTCCACATCTTATAAACATTTCACTTCAATTCATCTTGGACTTAAAACAGCAGTTCGTCTAGTGTAAAGTGAGAGCTGACACACACACAAAAAAAGAGATTGTAGCATATTTTACACAAACTCAACACAGACTTCAAGCGAAATAAAAACATTGAACTTATGTCGAATACAGAGCAATTAGGTCTAGATCTAACACACACAAAATCGACCGGAAAATTAATTGTAGGCTATATAATGTCTTACCATGTTCAGGAAAAAACAAACAAACTGACAGCAAAATAAAGGGAAACTTCATTTTCAACACTTTTATCAGAAGAAAAAAAAAAATCATTGTTGACTCAAAAACAAAGGTGCCTCTCTTCCGTATTAATGACGTCAAGTTAAAGCTAAAATGAAAGTAATACGTCACATACCAGACGGAGCGGCGCACTAAAGACAACAGAACCCTCCCTTTAAAGCCTAATCAGTGATGCCGTCTAAACTGGATGCGACACGACAAATTCCCGACAGTAAACTGCTCTGTTTATGAAGTACTGACACAAAGTATAAATGATTGGCAACGTTTGTATTTTGGCGTGCAGTGTAAACAGCCTTTAGCTTTAAACATTCGGCAGTGATGATGGGAGCTTTCGGAACACTTCGTGAAGCTCATCAATCTTTTGTTTCGATTCAGTGGTTCGGAAACTATATATATATATGTGTGTGTGTGCATGTTTATGTGGTTTATGAGGACACACATTTGTATAATAACATGGGCATGACAGGTATTACAACGAGAAGGTGATTTATGAGGACATTTTCAGTGTCCCCATAATTCAAAAGGCTTATAAATAATTCAGAATGAGTTTTTTTGAAAATCTAAAAATGCAGAAAGTTTCCTGTGAGGGGTAGGTTTAGGGGTAGAGTTGGTGTAGGGCGATAGAAAATATGGTTTGTACAGTATAAAAACCATTACACCTATGGAGAGTCCACATAAACTATAAAAATAAACCTGTGTGTGTGTGTCAGCGTCTAAAAGGCCTATAGAAATATGACATCTCAAAAAATGAGATTGCCAAACTCAACAATTAATAATCAAAGTATTATAACCATTTCAAAGCCAATTAACTCTGTTATCATTAAATTCAAGGAGATTCACTCAATATTCTTCTACTTACTTATTTAACATAGACAGGCATTTAGCTTTCAAAAACTATCAATGTTAAATGATAAGGAATTAGAAATGTATTAAAGCCTTAATAAGGACCGGAAGAACATTGATGTATTATATAACTATACATGAAACATTAAATACCATGTAAATATACACGTGTTCAAAGAGTGTGAGCATGATATAGGAGGGTCAGACGCTGTTAGGGGAGGATTCAGGTTCACACAGATTAACAGACAGCTTTTGGTGGATAGTAGTTCAGACAAGGAAAATGTTTTATATGTTTGTTTTGTTCTGTTTGTGCTGGTGGCATCTGATTGGTAAGTTATAAAAGCATTTGATGCCTTCATTTTTATCCATTTCAGAACAAGCCACTGCTACAAATTTGACTGTTTTCATGAGACATTATTGTGAGATCTACTTTGAATTCAGGTTTCGGTTTGTAATTTCCATTTTGGTAGAAATCTGGGAGATCCAGGGTTAAGAAAAGTCATTGAAATGTATAGAAACGTTCATAATTTTCCATGTCTATTAACATTTTATATTAAAAGTCACAGAAAAGTAATGGACATTTCTAAAGTGAATATAAACTAGCGGAGGCTCAGATATCCTGAGTTGCATTCAAATATCAGGTGTTTTTTGTGGGTTTCAAATGATTGCTGCACATGACATAAAAATGGAAATCCATGCCAGCCATATCTATAAAATTATTTAAAAAATCTACCCATCTAAATATCTCACATGTAAAAATCTCCCATTTATGAAAAAAGTAAATGAAAATCAGCAGCAAAATTGAACTTGTTCTTTCATACTTGTACTCTGCTGCTTATAAACACCATATCTTTCTTATGTGTTTCTGCTGCTGTTCTTCAATTCACAATTCAAGGTTACAAACTACAGCTGATGTGATGCTGTATAAACAACAAACATACACAAATATGTTTCTTTTTCTTCTCCAGGTGTGTTTGGTGGGTCATTATCAGTGATGGAGGGAGATTCTGTAACTCTAAACATTGATGATACTAAAAAACATGACGATTACATATTGTGGAAATTTGGAGCTGAAGCGTCTCTGATAGCACAAATCAGTAAAGAGGATGGAATCTTCAGCACATATAATGATGTTCTTGACGGGAGATTCAGAGACAGACTGAAGCTGGACAATCAAACTGGATCTCTGACCATCACAAACATCACAACTGAACATGCTGGACTCTATGAACTACAGATAACTGGAGTGAAACTGCCATCAAAAACATTCAGTGTTTCTGTCTATGGTGAGCATGCAGAGATCATTTGTCCTGTCCTTCTCATATTCTTATTTTATTATTTACATACTGAAAAGTTTATCCAGATTCATCCAGGTTTCTGTTTATTCTCTGACGTTTCCAGCTGTCATCAGCAGAGACTGTTCTTCTTCATCATCATCATCATGTTCACTGGTGTGTTCAGTGGTGAATGTGGGTCATGTGACTCTCTCCTGGTACAAAGGAAACAGTTTATTGTCCAGCATCAGTGTGTCTGATCTCAGCATCAGTCTCTCTCTACCTCTGGAGGTGGAATATCAGGATAAAAACACCTACAGCTGTGTGCTCAACAATCCCATCAGCAACCAGACTCAACATCTGGACATCACTCAACTCTGTCACACATGTGCAGGTACAGCAGCGCTGAGATTAGTAATAATTTACTGACCTGATCTCCCTATTTTATTTTATTTTTTATAGATCAGACTGACACTATGTCTTACATTACAGCACAGTCTCCATCACATCCTTCAGGCTCAGTGATAGTGCTGATTTCTGCTGTTGTTGCTGGATCTCTGTTGACTGTAGCTGCAGTTGGGATCTTTTGCATCTGCAAGAAATGTAGAAAAACTGATCAAGAAGGCAAGAGTCCTCCCCGTTTCCTAACAGCTTTTAACAAGTATCATAACCTATAATACTTTAAATGTGTACTCTAAATATTGCAATCAATTGATAGCCATAATTATCAATTATTCACAGTTATTCTCATAATTTTTTTGTTGATGTTGTCCTCTATTTCTGTATATTACACTCATACCAAAATACATACAATAGCAATAAAATGTCACATTTTTCAATCTGCATCTAAACAAAAATGCAAATCTGTATTGATTCAATAATAAATTAGCTTCTTACAGGCTTCATGAATATAATCTTATCTGTGTAAAGATGCAGATCGACACTGGTGTTCAAATGAAGATTTCAAAGAAAATGTCATTGATGGGTGACACTTCAGTTGTTAAGCTTCTGTGAAAATGAAATTTCATACAAAAAAGAAATACTCAGGTTTTCAGAGAGGGAATCGAATCTGAAGATTCAAGATCAACCTGATTGAACTGATTCCAAAATTGATAGTTTACACTTTATCAACGGTCGTCCAGTGAGACGTTAACATCAGTATCTCTTATCAATTTGAATATTTGTACTATCCCTGACCAAAGGCTAATACATGCTTTTGATAATTTATAAGCTATGAGCTAGGTAACTGGATGTGAGCAGAGTTTTAACTAAAAAAAATACACGACACAAGACAATACTTCTTTATAAATGAAACAAAAGTTTATTCACTATTCTATGGCACCTTAAACTAAGCTAAAACACACACACACATATGCACAAAAGGTTCTTAGATACGGAGAGTGATGCATGGAGTTCTTGCTTGGCTTTAGACTTTGAAGATTTCGGCAGTCGCGGAGTTTCAACTGAAGTGTTTGAGTTCTGGAGTCTCGCTCGTGTGATGTTACAGCATGTGAGCGCTTTGTAACGCGGTCACCAAGGCGAAAAGCCAAAGATCTAGAGAGAGAGAGAGAGAGAGAGAGTCTTAGATACGGAGAGTGATGCATGGAGTTCTTGCTTGGCTTTAGACTTTGAAGATTTCGGCAGTCGCGGAGTTTCAACTGAAGTGTTTGAGTTCTGGAGTCTCGCTCGTGTGATGTTACAGCATGTGAGCGCTTTGTAACGCGCGCGCCAAGGCGAAAAGCCAAAGATCTAGAGAGAGAGAGAGAGAGAGAGAGAGAGAGAGAGAGAGCAAGCGAGCGAGCATCTGTTCAGGCATTGGGTTTTTAAGCAAGCCCGATCTGGTCCATCCCATACGCGATTGTCCCAATGTTGCAGGGCTTAGCCACGCCCTGTGTGGTTCCCTTTTCGGGCATTAATTAACATGCTGTTCAATTCCTCACGTGGGGGAAATGTCTCTGCAGGTTTTGTTAATAACTTCTAAAAGTGTTGTACAACACACACTGTTCAAAATAACAGCTTTTCACTTATTTCAATGTTCTGGAAATAAAACAAGCTTTCGTTCAACATCAAATAACAGATAGTTTGCATACACATTAATAATCTTATCTACTAAAAGGAAAAGTTATAAGGCAAAGATTGAAATATCATAGGTTTCAATAATAATAATTTAAATGATTGTCTTTTAAAATCGTCATGCAAGGTTCTGTTTCTTTTGTTGTAAGAAAAGAACGCGGGTCAGTTGGGTTTCAGAAAGGGCAGGAAGCAGATGTTCAGTGGGTCATGTGGTGTCACGCTGTGGTTTGCTGAGTTTGATTGAATCACGTTATCACGGTTCTTTTAGGTCCGTTGTTTTGCAAGCCTGAGGGTGTGATTAAATTAGCCATTTCCTGTGCATATATATATAATGGTCCCAAGCATAAGCGATCACCAGGTATCTCTCAACTATATGTTGTGAAAGACTTTTTAGTTCTCAATACAAAAAGATCTCTGTTGTCTCCTGATGGGATTAGTTTAGACCTCGTGATGAGGTGATTCAATGGCATATCTGTGTCTGCTCCTGATAGAAATCCTACAATACTCTGCTAGGACTAGGATGTGTGAAACACTTCTAAATGTCAAGCTGAATTGATTTGTTAATGCAATTAAGACCTTGTAATGCAGCATTAAACATATTAAACTGCATGCTTTAACAATCTAACTATGACAGCCCTAATAATACACGTGGTAAAGAAACAGATCTAGTAAAGATAATGTTTCCTTGTGTAAATGTATCTGTTATTATTACTGTGCAGACGAGATCACTTACGCTGAACCACTAACGTTCTACAAACGAAACGCACAGAAATCGGTAAGATCGTTTATGACTGTGTACTAAATTGTCTTTGCATCAGTTAAATGGTGAGTCAGATTTAGAAGTGTGTTCTTGTCAGTATAATAAAACTTCAGTGTTACATTAAAGCACTGAAGCAAAACCACTGCCATTTCCACCACAGGATAAAAAAATAAATTAAAAAAAAGTAAATCGCAACTTTCCATCTCAGAATTCTGACTTTTTTTCTCGCAATTGTGAATTGTGAGATATAAGATATAAGTGAGATATAAGTCATAATTACCTTTTTGAATTTTTTTATTCAGTGGCGGAAACAGGCTTCCATTAATAATCTTCCATACAAAGCTTACTGAAAATTATATTTTTTGTATTAATTTGTATTCATTATTATTATTACATTTTGTTTGTACAGAAAATAAAAGCGTAACATCATGGGGAAGAGGTTGACATTGCATATCTGTTGCCATGAGTAGATCATCAAACTTACTGTAGACCTTCCAAATCCCAGCAGACACACAGCAGAATGATTCTAAAGGGTCTGCAGTATGACATTCAGAGATGGACTAATGAAAAGACTTTGCTTTGTAATTCTATGACTTCTAACACATGATCTAAATCTTGTGGCTCACTGGAGCATTTTCATGTTTGACATTTGAAGCCTCAAAAAATGTTGTTTTCTTAAACAAAAAACACTTTGCTTCCTCATAATAATGACGTTTTGATCCGTTTGGTGGAAAAACATCTTTTGCGTGAGCATTGTCTATTGCTGGTGGGTTGTGGTCAGTTTGCACATGTATGTGTGATTAGCGTGTGGTTGAAGAGTGTTTTTCCACTCCTGCCCACATGATGCGAACAGTTTGATTTTCCGCTTTACACAAAACAGCTTTATTACTAAAATACTGAACCCATCAATTCTGATGTATGACAACAAAGGTCTCAAATTAAACTGTAAAATATGAAAATATCATAGACTTTGTGTGCATAAGCGTCATTAATGAATGAATGAATGATGCATTTATATAGCGCTTTATTGTTACCTTACATGCTCATGCTGTGCTCCTGCTGCTAAGCCCTGCTAGTTTCACTAGTTATTTCCAGCTCCAGCAAGAGGAGTTGTACTTTCCAAGAAGAACTATTCTAGACATCACAGCTTTCTTTTTATAAAGAACACAACCTATTTTTGTCTGCCAATGTCTTTTTACGCGTTGCGCCGCGTAAACATAAAACCATGTCTGCACTTGTGATCGGATGACAAACAACAAGCCCTACTCTACACTGCCCAAAAAACTCGCTTTAAATATATAAAATATAAAAACTCTTTAAATATAAAAAAACGTACTTACAGTCTGTGAGTCAGAACAGCCGGCATTGTAGTCTACTCTCCCAGGATCAGGAAACAGTCCTCCATAAAATGTGCTGCACACATCTGAATATTTGGGTTGAACTGTTCTGGAACAATGTTGTAAATACAACTTAACCACTGATTTCTAGTCGTGTCCTCTTTTGGAAGACCAAACAAAGTAGTTTCGCTTTCACAACGAAACACACAGCGCTTTCACGACACGGCCGCGGCAGCAACAATACTACAGCGAGAATAAAAGTTAGGCCTTCTTTCTTCGCGTGAACATTTGGGTGGCGTTATGCAAATCTTCCCACATTGTGACGTAGACATGTGGGGGCGTGTTAGAACGAGCCGTTTTAGGTAGGTGTGGCTGACTCTTAACTTTTATAAAGAATATCTCTTTGGATTTGAGACTTTAGTCTTTGCAACTTTACAGATCTTCTTTATGCACCAAGAGCTTGTAACACTCCAAAGAGAAAGGAAAAATTGAAATCGCATCATATGACCCCTTTAAGATATTTTTTATGAAATCGGAGAGCTATCTGACCCTCCATAGACACAGACAGCAACGCAACTGAAATGTTCCCAGGTCCAGAAACGTAGCAAGGACATCAGTAAAACAGTCCATGTGACATCAGTGGCTCAACTTCAGTTTTGCGATGCTACGAGAATACTTTTTTTTTTAAATGGCGGAAGACGTAACTCGGGGGAGAAGAGGTACACATATAGTATACATATTTTACAACAGTTTGCTAAGGATACTCACATGTATTTATTAAATTTCTGAACTTCCCCTACAGTGCGTTATGACTTTTTTTGGGCCCTGCATGGAGGTTTTTACACACCCTGACATTTGCGCTTATTTCAGTTACTAATCCCATTACATACTAAAGTCCCATTACACTGTAGGCTATTCGACACAAAAAGCACTAAGTACACTCATTCCAGCATCAGATGTTGTCAGCATCAGCATCAGTAAATGTTTTTTACACCTCAGTAAAACACAATTTCAATAGACACAAAATATTATTTATATTTTTGTAATTGAATTAAATTATTTTTTTAAAGTAATCTATTATGTATTTTTTACTCAAATAAAACATTTCTATAAAGACATGTATTGTTGTGGTATGAATAATAAAACAAATATTATACAAACATTATAAGCATAAGGTTAGGAGGCAACACATA